AAACAACTGCACCTCCCAGTCGCGAACCATTTCAACTCCCCCTCCCATTCCTCACACGACATGTCCATCCTGGGCCTCCTGCAGTGCCACAACGATGCCACCCGAAGGTTGCAGGAACAGCAACTCATATTCCGCTTGGGAACCCTGCAGGACAAATTGACATGGCTGTTTTGTTTAGAGAAATATAAGCATATGGTTCTCTGTATTTTGTAAATAGAATACTAAAGCAAATCAGGTATGCTAATTATATATAGCATGTTGCTTACACCACAGTTAGCCTCTTGCATTTAAATCTGGACGCCACAATTGAGGAACAATGTTAAGGCATTGAAGAGAGGGCACTTGAATGGTTTTAGAGATGAGAGATTTCTGTCATGTGAAGGGGCCACAAAAGCTGGGATTGCTTGCCTGAGAACAAAGGAGGTTTGGGAGAGATTTAAGAGAGGCTTCAAGATTATTACGGGATTTTGATCGATTTAACAGAGAGAAACCATTTCCATTGGCAAGGGATTCAGAGAATGCAGATTGAGGGTAATAAAGTTGATAAGTGCTGGAGAAACTCAGTGGCTCTGCAGCATTTGTGGAGAGAGAAACAGAGTTAGTGATTCAAGACCAATAGTTTGTTCATTTGTTGAGTTTTGAAGAAGAGTTATGTTGGGCTCAAAATTAATTCTGTTCCTCTCCACAGACGCTGCCAGATTCTTACAGCACTTTTGGATTTTTTTTAATTTCAGGTTTCCAGTATCTGCAGTTTTTTGCTTTTGTTTTGCAAACTTAAGGTAATTGGCAAAAGAGCCAGAGGGGAGAGAGAATCAGATTTTTCTTTTTTCCTCAGTAAGTTATTCTGATCTGGAACACACTGCCTGAAAGGGTGAAGTAACCAGATTCAATAGGAACTTTGGTAAATTGGATAAGTACTTGGAAAAATGTTCAAAGCTTTGAAGAGAAAGCAGGGAGAATGAGGTTTAATCAGGAAGTTCTTTCAATGAGCCAGCACATGCACACTGGGCTGAGTGGCTTCCATCTATGCTGTATAGCTTCCATGATTGTATAGATTTCCAAGCAGGTACTTTCTATAATTAACCATAAACTATAAATAGATTGCTTTGTCTTATTTATAGGGGTTAAGATGCACTGTCAAACATAAATACAACAATGTAAAATATGAGACTAATTCTGATATTATCTGTATTTATTCAGGAGGAGACGCGACTGAAGAATGTTGTATGAAGACTGCTTTATAATGCAAAACAACTTCTTAAAACTTCCTTAGGATTTTCCTGTTCTCAAATGTAGTTGTGCGTGTTTAATATAAGTTCTTTACTGTTCAAAGAAACAAGCAACATTTTTTTGGCAGCATGTATAAATATTTTATGCCAGAACATTCAATGCCCTTTAATTTTAACTACTGACAACACTAGATGACTGTGCATCTGCTCATCATTTCAATATTAAAGATGATAACTGGTTTGTCATTGTACTGAACCTTGTGCATGACAGCACTTTGATGGTGGAAGAGTTGATAGCAATGAGTCACAGATAAACTAATATTTGACTTTAAGGCATTGAGGGATAATTCAGTGACCCTGTTTGAATTTGTGCATGCTTGACACTTGCAGTGCCAGAGCACTCAAGAAAATATTATTCACAAGCAAGCCCTAACTTTATCTCCAATAAACTGTGACATACATAGGTCATTCAGTGAAGGATAATATTACCAAGTGCGTAGCCAATCCATCTGTTACATACCTCAATTTAAACTTTATTAAAGGTTTAAGCTGCAAAAGCCTCTTGTAATAGAGCTATGCAAAGCAAAAAAAAAGTATCTAACCAACAGAATAGTTTGTCCTGGTTTTAGATTTCATGTTTTATTTGATTCAAACTTTCTGACTCCTGGTAAGTCTAGATGGCTGTTTCCTTATGATTTTGTGACAGTAGCAATGCAGGTGAAAGTGATTTAGCCTGACTACTTTTTTTTTAAGCAAAGCAAAGACTTGGGTAAAGTAAAGCAGATGGTTCCTTGAAGTGCTCCATATTCGCTCTGTAATTGTTAGTTAGTGTGAGAACATCCATTGGTTAACTAATACCAGATGTAGTATAGACATGAAGGTGGTAGTGACCGTTACGTATAATGATAGTTACAATTTGCAGCTCTTCGCATTTTATTTCATATGCTGTGGCATAGCATCAGCCACTTACACATTATATGACCAACTTTATTCATGGCTATTGCACAATGGAGTCTCACCGTCTGGGTGCATTTCCAAAGTATCCTTTAAAATTAACAAATGGGAAATCTGGCAACATACACTTGCTGTTTCCTGAAGCACATCCCTTGGGTGCCGTGGCGGAAAAGTAAACATCAAAAATCTGATTGTTGCACCCTACTACCATCAGTAAGATTCTGCACCCTAACATCAGGAATTCTGAGCGGTGCTTTCAACCAAATTCAGGAGCAAATAACAGGTGTAGTCTAGTCAGAGGTAACTTGTAATTTTACAGGACAGGACTATCGAGTTCCTTAGTTTTAGTGGTGTGTGGAGATGATACTCTCTGGTTTGTTATAGAAGGTCCTGGTGCTATGTCAATCCTGTTTACAATTGCAACAATTCTCAGGGTTTCTAGCAAGACCAATTGCACTTCTACACTGCAGGCAGAACTAATCTGTTACTGAACCAACAAAAAGACAGACTCTTACTTCTTTTTAAGACGAGTATTTTAAAGGTATTCAATGATCTGCACTGTCCAGCTGTAACGATCACCTTTGGGGTAAGCACAGAATTCTAAAGCATTTGCTGATCTCGTTCCAATTGTGGTGTTAATGATGACTGCAGCAGGCCTGTGCTGAAAGTTGGATTTTTGGGATTTTTGCACAGTTTCTGTTAAAGTAAAACAGTTTCATTGTCTTATGTCAGAACAGACTTTTCCGACACTCTAAAGGGGAGGAGGTATCATAGAAAACTTAAATCATGTTTGCTGATTAATTTCATTCATTTTACTTTGAGTGGATTTCTGAACAAGTGTTAACAAGAAATGCAAGTACTGTGTTGGAGGCACCAAAGATCTCAGCCATGCAACCCAAGTAAGGTGGTAATGCATTTTCAAGAACTTTGGGCAGTTGTCTAGCAAACCTTTCCAATCAGTGAAAATCTGATTTAATATTAGCGAACATCTGATTAAAACAGAGGTTTGCTGGAATGCTAAACAAAGGTGAGAAATTTTAAGCTGCGCTCAAGAGTTCAGAGAAACCATGATAATTCTGTTTGAAGTTGAAGTGGTCGACAGGAGATTGAATAGAGGTTTTCAAAATTTGAAGGCTGTGGATAGAGTAATGAATAACCATTTCTTTTGTACAGTGAGTCATCATAATTGGGGAAGTACTGAATGAAAGGATGATAGAAGCAGATTCAATAATGACTTTCAAAAGGGAATAGGAAATGTGCTTGGAAGGGGCTAATTTGTGGGTCAATGAGGGATCGGAAGGGGGATTGGGACTAACTGGAGAGGTCTGTCAAAGAGTAAAGAAATTGAACCAAATAGTTTATTTTTTCACATCATTCTAAAATTCCAACCCAACTTGTTGGTTTGCTCACTTCTGATTGTTCAAAATGTCACCGTCAATGCAAACTAGGAAAATGAAGTCCTTGTGTATATATGGACCCCATGGAGACTGCTCAATATTTCAATTTCTTCAAATGAGCCACATTGCTAAAGAGAAATGAATACAGTTCGGAAATATTTCATTACCCCCATATTTCTGCGGATGGGTTTGAACAACCTCCAAAACAGTTACTCCCAAATTGGAAACAGGAAAGGTTCTGGCCCAGGGTTTGTCAAAAATTCAAAAGTCTCATTCTAACCATCAATATGTACAACATCAAAAATAAAAGTGTTGCCACAGAAAGTGTCAATCAGAGGTCCCAGTTTAGACACATTAAGGGTGAAATTCACTCGTGTTACAAAAAGAGAATCGTTGTTTCTTCATAATCTGCAGGCAGTTTGGAGCATGCTGTTTCTAAGATTGCAAATCCCTAATAGCATATTAACTTTGATAGAAAGGAGGTGAGCTCTGCAGTGACTCATACTATCACTGAACCAGGAGCCCGGGGTGAATTTTAGTGGGAAAAAGGGAAAATTGTTCAGTATCAACACAAGTCTGTTCACATGCTGTCTCTGCTGTCTCAACACATTCTCTGCCCCAAAAAACACCAGCCACATGAACTCAAAGAAGATGGTGGTCTTGCCCTTTTGGATTATAGAGCCCATTAAGCTAAGTCAGGGCTTAGGTGAAATTATATTTCATACCCATCTGAATTCCTGCAAATAAAACGATGCATTTTTAAATGAAAATGTATTGCTGTAACACTTTTTAAACAATACTGTACCAGCAGGTGTTCCTGAAGGACCTGGCTGCCAGACGCTGATGAGTTTCCATTAATTTGTGAATCCAAACAACTGGATGTGTTCTTAACTCTTGGTGGATGGAGAAAGGGCGATTTTTCTGCATCTTTCAGATCGGTTGTGTGCAGCAGTTACGGGGAAAAAGACAAATTGGAGTCCCATGCCTGATTTCCATCCACCACTTTTAAACAGAGAGAAAATGAACTGAGTCCCTTATGAGTGACGGTCTGATCTGCTTGATATTTTCTTTCATTCTGACTTACTCCAGGCAATCCACCAGGGAACAGCACAAGAGAAATCTTCTTGATCCTGAAATGATTTTGAAGAGAAAGCTGCCTGCACTGAATAATCTTTAATTCCCTTCTTCACAGATTGATACCACAACTAAAGATTTGTAATGCAATAGGGCAATCAGCTCTGAAGAAGTTGCAGTGTGCACTTTCAGTCTGGTATCAAATATGTGTTCTGAAATGTTAACTGTAAGTCAGGGTTCACAAGCTGCTAAGGCTGCAACTGTGTTAAAAACTGTTTGATTTTCACATGAGTCATTATTTTCTCCTTTTCCATTGCCTTGGTTAGTATTGTGTTTTATTTTATTGAGTAGAGGTCAGTTACTCAATTGCCGTAAAGTACATGACAATGGCACTTTCCTGGGTAGGCCATGCTATGTACATTGGCATAACTGTGGATGCCGGAAATCTGAAACAAACAAAAACAGAAATTACTGGAGAAACTCAGCAGGTCTGGCAGCATCCGTGGGGAGAGAATCAATGTTAACGTTTCAAGTCCAGCATGACTGTCCAGCCTGGACTCGAACGTTAACACTCTTTCTCTGTCCATACATGCTGCCAGACCTGCTGAGTTTCTCCAGCATTCTCTGTTTGTTCTGTTGCATCAACGCTGTACATTGTAAGAACAAATTACTGCAGATGCTGAAAACTGTACTGAAATCAAAAATGCCTGAAATCACAGGGGATCAGGCAGCACCTATGGAGAGGGAGGAAGCTAACGCTTCAAGTCTAGACTACTCTTCATCAGAGCTGACCAAGCTCTAATGAACAGTCACCTGGACTTGAAATGTTAGTTTGCTCTTTGTCCATGGATGCTGCCTGACCCATTGTGATTTCCAGCATTTTTTTGTTTTCTGAACATTGTAATGCATGCATTGTACGTGCACCTAATTTCACGTAGCCAAGCGTTCCACCCACAGTGTCTACTGTTTACACTGTTTCAATATGTCAGATGTATATCGTAAAAAGCATGTTCACAGTAGGTGTAAAGATGGTCCGAGTTATGTTCGACAGAGATGTAAAGGAATCCCGTATTGAATAAGAACTACCGAGTTACTATTGTATCTAGCTCTGTGGGAATTGAAGACAGATCCCAATTTAAAAGAGCAGTTGTTGGTTGAAGCATTGGCTAGCTGTCGGGATTAGGGTGAAATTGAAGAGGGAGCGGAGCAAAATGTGGAACACAGAAATGAGGTTGAGAAAGATCCTCAAAACTGAGGATAAAATATTGTAAAGATACAGTTGTACATCAGGAAATTGCACTAGTCAAGTGTTGCACATAGGGAAAGTATTTTATAACTGTGTTAATAAATGGAGGACTGTTTCTTACTTCTTCATAATGTCAAATATGGAAGCAATGTGCAGGCCAATATTGTAATGGATTTGCCAAATAAAAATAATGTAATTTTCCAGTGAACAGTTGTGTGTGGCTTGGCTTTTCCTTTAAAATGTTTTTTTTTGGTAGATTAGAGTTTAGGATCAGATGTATTAAAATATTTACTATTACATATCCCACTAAATACCAACCAGCTCACCAAGACTCTCAACAGCCTTTTCAAAACTTCTCATCTCTACTATTGAGATGGATAAGGGCAGCAAATACATGGGGACACAACCCCCTGCAAGTTCCTCTCCGAGCCACTCACCATCCTGACTTGGAAATATATCGCCGTTCCTTCAATATTTGTTTTTGACCAGCAGAGACACAAACAAGAGGCTGAAGGGCCTTTTTGTGCAGTAGACCTCAATGACTCTAACCTGCTCACCATCCCGACTTGGAAATATATCACCATCATTCCTTCAGTGTCGCTGGGTC